ACTCTGTACCTGCATTGTTACTAGTTAAAAAGTCATAAAATGATTATGTGAACAACTTTGTCCTGAACAATAATATAAACCATGCAAATTTCTTTCAAAACTCAGGACATACAATCTAAAAGGCTCAGATCTGAGGTGTAGGAATCAAAATCTGTAAACGGAAGCAGCCACATTAAATAATGGAAAATAGGTTTCAGGTCATATGAATTCCATGTACAGCAGCGACATTGCTGGCTCATCGTCCTATAAAGTTTATTTGCTTTTTCCAAAAAATTTAATGACTTGTTTTGTCTATGTCGAGCCATGCCAGGAAATTTAGTCATACATCGACTCAGTTATTGCACATATAAAAGTGTCATTGTTGTGATGGGATCACTTACAAACTGTAGTACACTTCAGCACACAGAGTTCTTACCTGGCTTTGGCATACCAGCTCATGGCTTCCACCTGCTAAATGTCCCAGGAGACTCTTCATTCCTATGATCCTCTGCTCTGTGTCAGGCTGTGTAAAATATTTCCCCACCCTCCCAGCTTAGCCCTGCCCACCACAGTCATTTGTCACCGTCTTCCGGAGCAGACTTTGAACAGCCATGTGTGTTAGTGTGTGAGACACTAACTACCCTCACTTGTGGATTACCCTGTCCCTCCATAGACATGTCTCTGTGATGTGCAGGTTCAGGAATCGCTTTCCATTAATGAAGATTTTTTTTTAGATCAATGGGACCTTTCATGGTCAAGTTATATATGATCCAAGGATCTAAGATGCTGGACACTTTGTCATCAATGGCCAACCAGGGACAGTGACTCCGAGTCTGCTGTCTTACACTGCTAGAAAGGAAAGATGAAGAAAAAGCTCTGTTAAGAATCACTACAGAAAAGGTGGAAATCTGAGCAAAGTGAGAGAGGCTCCTATGTGTGAAGGGCTGCCAAGAGACAGAAGCTTTTGAATTTCCTTTGTCCGGGATTTTCAGGGCAATGGCAGAAACTGGACAAAGACTGAGGTCTTCTCTATGACTGGTTCATTCTCTAGACTGCAACAGGCTGTGCCAATAGAGGCTATAGACTGTAATCATGCCCCTAGCCCAGCTGCAGGTTGTAGGCATGCCCCTAGCCCAGCTACAGGATGTAGACATGCGCCTATCTCAGCTAGGAGGATAATAGCCACATGCTGTGTACCCAGTCAAGTTGGTTGAAGCCCACTTTGCCCATCTCTAACTCATGCTTTGGTTACTGCTGGCCTCTGTTACCCACTAGACTTTAGATACTGTGTGGTCTTGCTTTCTGCAGCCTTGCAGGCATCTCACGTGCCATTGAGATGGCTGCCATCCTGGTCTGTGCTCTATTCCTAAAATGAGGCAGATGGTTAGAAACTATTCTTTGCTTACGGTTTAGTCTATTATAAAGATATGAGAAGGAATGTGTTAAGGGCAAGAATACGTATCAAGCAATAGTGTCCAGCATGTTTCCCTAGGAGGAAGGTCTCATGGGAGCCAGCCTGTCCTCACAGCCTTGCTCCTCTGAGTCTGTCTGTCTCTTACCAGGTCAGCCTAACTGTCTCACAGTCAGATGCAGGAATCTTTGTCTCTCATCCTCAGGGCTCCTGGCCTCACTGTTTGCTCCTATCCTTCCTCCTCATTGCAGCATAAATGGACAATGTGTGGTTTTCACTTTGGATCCTTATCCCTTACTGCCTCGTGTGAGCTGACCCTGCTGTGAGCTGACCCTACTGTGAGCTGACTTCTGCCTCATTGTCGTTGTTTAAGTCCCTGACAACTAGGAAATTTCTATCTTTCCACTGACAAATGTTATTAGAATACATGAAAATAAGTAGAATTACTCTCTTCAGTGTTTATTTCATAACATAGATCTAGTTTTGCTTTCTCTGATGTTACCAGTAACTATAAACCATACACAAGGATTATGGAAGTAAGAACTTTAAAAAACAAATCTGAACCAAGCTGGAAAACTGACAAGGAATGAGCTAGAATCCAGACTCAGGGGTTTTATCTACTTAGCTACAATCCTGCAACTTTCATGTTATAACCTAGTGCTAGTATCAGAAGCATGTTTAGGATAAATAAAAAAACTCGCCAGTCTATTTCAGCCACAGTTGTACAAAACTGTCATCTTCGGCAGTTGTTTGACTTCCTGGGGAGTCCAGAGAAGACCATTCCCTTGACAGGGTCCCTGTAACAAAAGAAGAAATGATTCGGCCTGAGTATGTGGTGGAGGACCTGCAGATTTGCTGGTGTTAAGAGTGACAACCCACAAAGCTGCAGCTCCGCAGCTCCCTGCTTGACTCCATGGGAAAGTCTCTCCTCCTTGGCCGTTGTCTGCTACCTCTAGAACCTTGGACAGGACATTATGGATCCTATGACTTTTTCTAGTTAGCTTTTTGGGTCTTAAGTCTCTCCTTCTTCCTCCCAGAAGGGAGTGTCCATTTGTAGAAAGTAGTCACAGAGAAGCATGTGACATAGATGACAAAGTCAACATGAGAGCCATGGCTCCCCAGTTAGTAACTTACTTGAACTGAACTGTCTAAACTCCCCTTCCCTCAGAGCATCCCCTAACATGAGCTAGTGGTATCTGCTTCTCAAAGCTGATGTGGGGAGCATGTGAGACCCTGTTATGTGAAGGGTGGTTCTGATGTTGGCAGGTGACAGCTCTGTAATCAGAGCTACATTGCTGCACTGTAACTCCAAAGATCAGCAGACAAATTCTAGCAGATAGCCATGAACAGAATGAGGTTCTGTTGCAACAAGACGCCTCAGAGACTGTCTGTAGCTCTTGTCAAAAGTTGTCTTGACAAGACAACTTTTTTACTTTGCTTCCTACTCTGGGGTAATGATGGAAGGCTCTCAGCTGAAGCTGATGGGAGCCCAAGCTAACTCACTCAGAGGCTTGTTCACATCCTGGTACTCCGCACATTCACCTAAGTTCAAGAAATACTCACAAGAAAGTGTGGAATTTTTATTTACAGACCCACCTATTACAGCCCTAGAAACTGCACCTATTGTCTTTCTTGACAATACACTAGCTCTGACCCACGTTTGAGACAGAATTTAGTGAATTTCCCAGTGCAGTTCCTCAGTCTGCTGATGAGAAAAACTAGGGAATGTTTGCGAGAAGAAAGAAAAAAACATGCTCAGTATTGTTAACTGCCTGACATTAAAAAGATGAACCTGCAAAAGATGACCCAAGACCCTGCTACTGTCTAGTGTGATCCTGATTGTGTGTGATGGCTTACGCTGGGACAGGCTAAAAGCAAGCAAAGTTAGTTTCACTTGGTGTCCTGGGAAGTGTGGAGGGTTCTCTAAGGAGATGTCAGGTCAAAGGTTTTGGCTCTGTGCAGTGCAATATACTAGCATGGAACCAACAGCTCATGTTGTGCTGATGCTGAAGCAGACAGTTGCTGTTGCATTTAGAGTATAAGGCAAGTGATATGTTTGCTGTGACCACGGGAAGCTGTTCAAAAATACTGGCTAAGAGCAACCGTAAAGCTGGTGTGCTTTGTTAAAAATTCTTCAGGAGCACTTGCAGTCATACTGCTGGCATTCTGAGGAGCAAGAGCATTTAGTTTAGTTCTTCGCACCTAGATGAGGGCTGGACCCTCTGAGATCATTGGCTTTAGGTGGAAACAAAGATAGATGTTTGGATGAATGAGTGAGTGTACAGCAAACTGAATAGACTTGTGGTAGGAAGGTGAATGTATAGGTAACAAGGCCATTTGGACTTACATTACATCCAGAAGAAATCTAAGGCCTTGAATCAAGCAGGAAGTCAGTCCTAGAGTGTTAGCTTCAAAAGAATTCCTTTAAATCATTTATAGGGTGAGGGCTTATAGGTATAGTAGCTACCTGGCATGCATGGACCAGCATCACATAAACTGGGCTTGTTAAACTGCAACCTCAGCACTTGGGAGGTGAAGGCAGTGAGTTCAAGGTCATCCTCAGTGACATAGGAAGTTTAAGGACAGCCTGGGCTATGTGAGACCCTATCTCAAAAGCAAAATCACAAATTTGAGATGAAGAAACAGAAATAATTCAGGAAAGTAGAGAGATGCTGAGAGAAGAGTAATCATGGGCATGTCCCTGAATTGGGCACGCAAATTACAAAAGAAAATAAGGATCCCAATCTAGCATCATCCCGCCACCTGCATGATCTCTGCCAATCTTAAACCAATGAGATTCCTTTCTCTCACATGTAAACTGAAGGGTGACTATATTTGGTTCTGTAATGTCCCTCCCAGTTCTAACGGACTGCAGGAATCTAATAGAGTGAGCCCATTTCTCTGACATATATGACACACAATGATACTCTGAAGATATAGATGCACACACCAAATACTTCATCTTAATCACACTTGCTGGGAGCAGGGCAGGGCTCTCTAACGCACTGCAGGATAAGCCGCTTCTCCTGCAGTGTCCATTCTCTTTTTGGAATGGGAAGCTTTGTGCCTCCCACATGTAGGACTTGGCATATTGTGACTGGATGGTAGCCTACACATACACAAATGAGAACTGGAAAATAATTAAATCTGAGGTGAATGAACAAAGCAAATGTGTTTCTCCAGGGGCCAAGATGTCAATGATACGTTTTACTGTTCTGTTCACACTCAGCCTTAAGCATTCAGCTGCTTCGAGTGTTCTAGGTCGAACACTTCTGAGAAAATCTTTTGTGTGTTTTGACTGTGATTGAGGCAGGAGACGTCTGGCAGTTCAAAATTCCAGTCTTAGAAATGTCCTTGGACCCTGCTGTATATATAAAAGCAAAAAGTCAAAAATGCACATTATTTTCAAGCTAACATTTAAGACAAAATATGTTCATTTCTGGGGCTTTGGCTTCCACACCAGAGCTTCTATTTTATTCTTAGAAAATGGCCATACAAATCGGAAGCTCAAAGAATTCTGAGATAGTTTTATGTGCAGTGCCTTCCCCATGGTTCCATTTTGATGAGCCGGCACCAGTCCCCACTTCCCCAAGCTCCTACTACCCCGTCTTTAAGTCTCTCACTCATGCATGAATCTGAAGAGGGAGCTTGGTCACAGCAATGTGGAAAACACAGCGTTTGCTCCAACCCTCTTACATGACCAGGATGGAAACTGATGTCCAGAGATGTAAAGTTTTTCATAGAAAGTCACACAGCAAGCCGCACATTCTCTCCATTTCTAAACCCTCTCTCTTCTCAAAGCCACACTGACCTCTGACAATACAAAACATGGGTACCAGGGTGTTAAACAAAGAAGCTCTAATGCGGTTCCTTTTTTCCTTTTTCAAATGAGCCAGTTTCACCTTTTCACTCTGAGGCTTTTGTCTTGTCAGCATCTTTCAGGGAGATGACTTACCGCATGGAGATGCAGCTTGGCTTTGTCTTTAGCAGAAGCAATCCTTTCAGTGTAAGCCTGCATTTCCTTTGGAGGTTGACTCCAATTCACAGAACACATCCTGAGAATTGATGTTTACTAAGTTGGCTGTTTAAATCATGTTCAGCGCTTGGTTACATGGGCCGTTCCTTTGTCTCTGTCTCTGCTGCATTCGCCTTCTTCTTTGTGCTCGACACAAAAGGATGGAGGCCCCGGCTCATCTGGATATGGATCAGTGTATTCATGTGTAAGCCTTACAAAGCTATGGAGCAAAGGTGTCATGAAACATTAGAAGTCATTCAATCACGCCCCGCATCCGTCTCCTCACACAAAGTGAGAAGGCAAAGCCCTGTGAGGCATCTGTCATGGGGCTGTGTCCTTGCTTCTTGGAGGAGCTGGGAGCTGGCTCCTTTTTGAAAACATTATGCTGTGCTTCCTTTGCCTATCTCTCCTTTGTGGAAGGTTTGAGATTAGCACACACACCCCAGGCTGACACTAAGATTCCTCTCTTATTTCACTTAGCAAAATAACTGAGTGATGGTTGTCGGTTTGGGGGATGAGTCAGGATTTATTCTAATTATATTTCCCTTTCAAATTACTGAAGTCCTTCCTCAGGCGTGCACAGAGAGTAGTCCTCACCATGCAGTAGCTGTATTTTCTACTCTCAATGTTTCAGAAACCCTTTCTAGGTAGTGAGCGGAGAAGTCAGTGAAGAGACAGGCTTCTATGTGTCTATTTCCTGCTTGCCATAACATGTAAATGGAATTTTTGAGTTTTGGAACTGTTGCCATCTGCTGGATGTTTAAGATACTACAACCCAAATGTATAGGGCCAGAACACATAACAATGAGCAGCCTGATAGCTAACGTAAGTAAACTCTACTTCCATGGCCCCAGGTAGACTGAAATCTCTCTAACTTTAGGAGTTTCAATCTTTGAAGTATATTTTTCTGATTAAAATAAACTTTGTCTTTGCTATCTGTGCTCAGTGTTAGATCCCTGAACTTGTCATTTAGTTTACAGGCACGAGAACACAGGCAAGATTCCTGCTCCTTTTGCAATAAGGAATAAATCTGCAAAGATGCACTCAAAGGCTTCTAAAATTAAAGATAGTGGCAATATAAGAAAAATTATGAGAGCAAACAGAGAGGAGGCAAATAGGCTTCTGTGGCCATAAAGGGCAAACATGAAATTGAAACCATGTGTCAAACATAAATACAAACTACACGGATGTCCTTTCCTCTGAGAGACCTTTCTCTGAGACCTGAACTCTTTACACCCCACAATCTCCACACTGCTCCCTCAATAGGGATCCATGATAAAGAACAGTCTTTATAGGCCGGTCTGAGAATTTTGTATTGTAGTCATACTGGCTGGAACACCTGTTAAGCCTTGACCCAGACTTAGGTTTTCTTAGCTGGCTGACTAAATCATTTTGTGTTTTGGAGACTCCATCTCCCCACTTGTTAGACATGTGGATGAATGTTACTGTCTGAATGTAAACTACTAAAAATATAATTAAAAAAGAAACCAGAGCCAGGGAAGTTGTTTAGCTGGTAAGGTGCTTTCTATGGGAGCATAAGGACCTGATCTAGAACCCACAGGAAAAGCTAGGCATGGTGGCATACTCTGATGCCAGGGCTGAGGAGGGGGAGGCAGATAGATCTCTGGAGCGTGCTAGCCAACCAAGCTCACCAGATCAGGAAACTCCAGGTTCACGGGGCAAAGCAGTCACACACACACACACACACACACACACACACACACACACACACACTTTCCTAAGCAGCATCCCTCTAACATATACTTGTGTTGAGTTACAGTTTACATTTAGATTTGAGCAGGATGATAGTTCTCCATGTTCTGAAGAATGGCCTGGAAAAATGACATGAAGAACTATGGCCTGCATCTGGCTACAAAGTCCCATGGAGCAGGTGGATCTGACACAGGGGAGGTGTTGGGAGACCTATACGTTGTTATAATATACTTCCTTTTAAAAGGTACCTTATAATAACATATAAAATTATAAAATCAACACCATACATTTCTTCCATGAGGAGACCTTAAAAGGAGAGCATCAAGATCTGCCTCTGCTCCCACTTTAAAAGTACATGTATATGCCCAAAAGGAGGCAAGAAGTTGGCAAAATGCCAGACAGATGCAGAAAGACAGTCACTGACTGCATGTCCATGTGACTTACGCTATGTCACTGGTAATGAGGATGTCCCCTTTATTTCCCTCTGGTTATAAGTGGAGGTACATTACATAACCACTCTCATGAAGTAATAGGAACAGAACTACACAGGAAACATTCTCCTAGCTCATCCTCTGCCATGTTGGCCATGCCTCCATCCCTCTAGCACTCTCTATTTCCAGACACACTAGACACACACACACATACACACACACACACACACACACACACACACACACACTGCCCAGCCCCAAAGAACATACTGTTGGTGATTATTTATAATAACTCCCTCTGCTCTTGGCAGGATACACAACAGCTGATGGTCTATTCTTTGCCACAAAGACCAACCTTCCTCTTCATTGGATGATGGGAAGAGAGTCAAGCAGAGCAATTTATAGTTGTATCCCAGCACCTCAATTTTGTTTTATGTTTATTTATATCACGTCTTTTTCTGAGATAACCAGCACTCCTCTTCAAGAGAATTCTCACTGGAGAAGCCTCTGGTAGCCATCAGTGGTTTTCTTCATTGAGTAAGACATCTTAGAACTCTAGGCAAGAGGAAGTGGTGACCAGTTCTTTTATGAGAGTTTAGAATCAACATTCTGTGCTTTATTGAAAGGGTAAATGTGTTCTGTGTCAGTTGAACAATAAATGACTTTGAGTTCCTCAGGGAAGACAGCTTGTCTTCATGGGTTTCCTGTGCTCACAACAGCACAGGACCTGCTCAGTCAGAGTTCGTAGACTGGCCAGAAAAGACAGCTGTGTGGAGTTCTGCTTTGCTCTGTCAGTATTACGTTCAGCTTCAAGCCTCATCCTGGAGAAAACAGAGAAGAAACCCATCTCATAAGATCTTTTAGCAAAGAGAGTCAAATAGGTGCTGGAGCTTCCAAGAGACCCAAGCAGCCATGGGAGTCAGTGTGGCCAGCACTGTAGTTCTTGTAAGTGAGGAGAGACACTTAGAACAGGAGAAATGCATCTAAGACCACACACTTAGACAAGATCTAAATGGCTCTGACCTTACTATCAATGTAATGTCATGCAAAGCAGCCTTCAGTTAGGCTGGCTACAGGTCAGAGCCATGGTCAGGAAAACTGGAAAAAGGCAGAGTGGAACCTGAGGTTCTAGAGTATGGCAAGCAAGACGTCCACTCTTGATCACCTTGCTTACTTCTATATGAGCATAACTTGTTAAGTATGAATAATGGGGAATTTCAAGTATAGGAACAAATTCTTGATGTCTGACAATGTCCATGTACCTCTTGGGGGGTCAGGTTCTAAGGCATGTTAAGTTTCCTTGTGTGTGCTGCCAAGACTGTCGTGAGTGTACCGATGACCCAAGTCCTGGTCCTTGGTGATGCATCTGGGACCTTCTTCTTGACAGGCACTTAGCAGATGCTCCTGATAAACACATAAAAATTGCACTGAGTCATTACGAGACTGAGAAGTCTTTCCGGCAGTTTGAGGGGGCTTGCTGCTGTTGTTGTTTTGTGGTACAAAACATAATAGATACTTTGACAGCTGGAAGGAGGTGTGCCTCTGGGCACATCTGTGAGAAATGGTTATACATCTGTGAGAGTACCCCAGAGGAGTTGTCTTGACTATATTGGTTGATGCAGGAGACCCATCTTAACTGTGAGTGCAACCATTTGCTGGGCAGAAAATCCTGGGTTGTAGAAGAGTAATAAAGAGAGGTGACAACTAACGTGCATACATTGATCCTTGGTCTCTACTCCTGAGGTATATGTAAAATGACCAAGTTCCTGGTACCTTAATTTTTCCCACAGTGATGGACTATACTAATTAAATAAACCCTTTCTCCACTGAGCTACTTTTGTCAGAGTACTTTATCTCAGCAACAGGAAGGAAATGTAAGACACTGAACCTAGTTGAGCCACTCTACACAGGGCTACATCCCCAGATGTGTGTGTGTGTGTATGATAAAATCAATATGTCAAAAAAAGAAAATCATTATACCCAGTGTTTGCAGTGTGTTTAGGACACAGTAAGCTTATGTAAGTAAAGTTGTGGTCACTTTATGTATTGCATGAATATAAAATACCAAAGAGCTCACATCTGCTTGGTGAGCTAAGCCCCTCAGGGTTAGGAAAGGATGCTGGTGGATTTAGGAAGAAAGTAGCTACAGTTTTCTCTTTGGGGTGGAGGCACAGGACTGATTGATACCCAGTTAGACCTAGGTAAACCTTGCCACTTTCCCAACCTTTTGTGCCTCCCTGGTATCCCTGATGCTCCCAAGTGACTGATTGTTAAAACACTGTAATGTGGACCATAAGAAAGAGTTGGCACAAGAGCATTTACAGAAATTTCCCTTAGTGTGAGCTTATGCTAAAGGCACAGCACATTAAAAAGCAGGCTTAGATAACTGTCTGGGTATGGATAAATCTCTGAAGGGGCCACTTTGAGGCAGTTTCCCTGTACTTGAACTTCAGAGGCTGTAATATGCAGACAGTAAGACTTACTTCACAGAATTCTTGACAAAGATTAAATGAAATGATGTATATACGCTTCTTAATACAGTATCCTGCAATTAATAAATATTATCTGCTATTATTAGTAATACTCAGTCTCTGTTCCTTCCAAGGACTGGATGAGAAAAGAGGCTTTGATTGTTTCTATCTAGTATTCTATGGTTTTTGGCATATTACATGTTCTAATTAGTTGTTGGGCAGATGAATGGGTGCATGGATAGATGGATACATGGATGGATGGATGGATTCATAGATTGGTGGGTGGATATATGGATGAATGAGTAAGTGTGTGGATTCCTGGATACATAGATGAATGGGTGGATGGATTTAATTTAATGGATTAAGCACTACAGAAGTCTCAATATTTAAGGTCCTTCCCAAATAGTACTGCCTCACATGCAACATGGTCGTAATGAAGACCCTGCACCCAGCTGCAGTGTCCAGCAGGGGATTCATTGAATTCAAGTAAATGTTTATATTAACAAACCAGTTGCACCCATCTTTGACACCAGCCTTCTCAGAAGGGCAAGCATAGAAACTGTAGAGTCCAGGTCAGAAACATCAGATGCTCATCTATAGTTAGAATCCTGAAAGTTCTTATGACAAAGGATAAAGCTCATATGGGGCAAGGGAAGAACCTGACTTTTAAGAAAGTTATGTCTCACAGTCAACAGTCCTGTAAGACCCAGATGTACGCCTTAAAGAGTCCTCTCTACATGTCGCATAGAAGCTTGCTGCACACAGGGAAGTTCAAAGCCTAGTCTCCCTATCAGAACTTATGGCACATCTGTAGTCCCCCATCCAGACATATTCTACCAATGAGGGGACAATTTTACCACATTCAGTGTTGCCTAGTAACTCAATTGACAGATACATATCAATCATCTTTACCTGTTTCTGGAGCAACCAAACTAAGAAGTTCACCAACAGAAAGATGCTTTGTTAATCCTTCGCCCACTGTGTTTAGAATTATTCGAAGCTATTATTTGTAACAACCAGAGAAAACCATCAAAAGCCCCTGTGAAGAATTCATTCTTCATCTTGTACCTACCACAAATATGTCCACAAGTAGAATGACACGGGTACAGTTGTGCTTGCCAGACTATACCCTTCCCCTGTCAACCAAGAGTGAAGCTCAGTGACACTTGGCACCATGCCTGCCCTTCACATCAGCCTTCCACTAACAGTCTCATCATTAAAGGCCAAGAGTAGCTGACCCTGAAGCACAGTGCTTCTCAACCTTCCTAATGCTATGACCCTTTAATACAGTTCCTCATGTAGCGGTGACCTCCAACCATGAAATTATTTCATTGCTACTGCACATTTATAATTCTGCTATTGTTATTAGTTGAAATGTAAATATCGGATATCCAGGATATCTGACATATGACACCCTCCACGGGGTTACGACCCACAGGTTGAGAACCACTTTAGCCCCCTTCCAAGTGTGTAAACACACAGCAGATTTCCACTTTACTGATCTTATTTGATCTGAACAGAGGAGCTCAGCACTGAGCCTCGCTCCTAAAGAACTTTCTAGTTTTCCCTTTCTAGCTGCTGCTGCAGGGGGAGGGGAGATGAAATGAGACTAAAATGTTAGGAAGTTGAAAGGATCCCAGTAGAAGATCTAAGATGGATGTAACTGTTCTGATAGAGTGTAAATGGATGCCAAATGCTGTTGGCTGGAATCCCACTGACTTAGTGAAAAGCTCGGAGAAGTCCTCGCTTACATGGTGCATGTTATTAGCTACGGAGTATCTTTGAGAGTAGTTAAAGAGGGTTTTCCATTTATTGTTTGTTTGTTTTACTGAGAACCCCAAAATAAGAGACACAAATTGTCTGACCGTCTAAGCTTGTGTGAGGTGATAGAGATGTGTTTTAGTAGCAAATCATTTCCCAGCATGCAGTGGTTCGCACCTCTAACCATCAAGAATTACCATTATTTTGTTTGTTTTGAGAGAGGGTTTCACTTTGCAGCTCAGGCTAGCCTCAAATTCACAGCAATCCTTCTGCCTCAAACTCACAAGTGCTAGGATTACAGGTATGGCCCACAAAGTTAATTAAGAAGAATTAACTCTGTTTCTCAGTAGGAACCAAACCTTACAGTAGCCACAAGGCCTACCTGGATTCACCAGAGGCACATGGTACAGCCACAAGTAGTTCAGCACAGCATAAGTTTGAAGCCTGTGTTCTTATCCTATCATGCCTTGTGGAAATAGTTTATGAGTAGAGCATCACCTGGGCGTCCCATCTGCAAGCACAGAAGATTTCTCATTAGCTTTTAAAATTATATTTACTTCCTTTTGTAAAAAGAGAGAGAGAAAGAGAGAGAGAGAGAGAGAGAGAGAGAGAGAGAGAGAGAGAGAGAGACTCACTGAAAGAGTACTAAGTTTAGATGAACATATACATCAGACAAAGAGCAAATTCCACTTCATCTGAAATTTCTCTCTCCGTTTTATAACCTTTTCTGAAATGGCGTTTATAATATAAATGACTCTCTCCCAAAAAGATTCTAAAATACAAAAAAAAAAAAGTAAAGAAAATAGAGATCCCAGAGCCACCATTCTGTACCCTGCCTTGTCACAGCCCTTTAAAAGGAACTAGTAATTACAACTCATTACCCATCTGGAAGACACACTAAATAGGTTCCAAATCGGTAGAAAGCATTTGAGATCTTAGACACATCCCTGGTTCATTGTAGCGGAAGGTCTAATAGCCTTTCCAAAAATTTCAACTATATGTTTGGTCTACTTACAACATTCTTGAACACATATTCCTGCCAAGATGAAAAATCAAACTAAATCCTTCCACCATGGCTAGCACGTTCCCACTTCTTTCTGATTAATTCAGCTATCTGTGCCATGAAAGCATTCGAAACTAGCAAGCGAAGCTCTAAGTTAGGAAGTTTATTTATCAAGTAAATGTTAAGACTTGCATGAGGGGTGTAGAGGGGCTTAGACATGTTACATTCAGGATACATAAATGTGGATTCTCTTATAGTCCACACTGATCTCAGACAAGGTAAAAAAGAAAACACCCTCCGGTTCTGCCAGATAAAAATAAATGTTTCTTTAGGACACTTGAAGAAATCCAATCATATAATTATTCTATGAAGGTGAATGTAATAAAATTTTAATTAGCTTCATTTCCTTCAGTTCCTCTTAACACATTATCTCAGAAAATAGCCACATGAATAAAATGACCTACATGTACAAAAAATATATTCAAAATAATTTAGCTGAATGAATTAAATTAAAGTGCAGAAGACTTGTTTTCTCAGAAAGATGAGATGGATTTCATCAGAACAGTGTCATCCTCTCAAACATTGTCTCCTGAAACATCAAAGAGTGCCATTTATGCCTTCACTGTGTTTTCTTTATTGGTATTGTTTTATAGAGTACTTGTGCATTCTTATTTCTCAATCCAAGTTTTTTTTCCATTAACTTACAGAAATTAGTCTGACTTGCCCATTAAATAAGGTGAAGTAATATTAACGCAGTGTATATACTACTTAGTAGCCATTCAAATATGAGACACTGGCCCAGTGAGTTGGCTCAGTGCTTCCTACTAAGCCTGAATTCAATACCCTGAATAGAATGAAAGAACCAACTTCCAAAAACTGTCCTCTGACCTCTATATGTGTATCATGGTAGGTATAGACCTACACATGCACATGCATGTGTACGAACACACACACACACACACACAAGCACACACACACACACAAGCGGGCCTCCTTTTTGTACTGACAGTTGGTCTGGTATCATGGAGTGCTGAGGGTGTCCCAGACAGGATGTGGGGTTGGAGTTCTTCCAGGAGAGTTAAGAAACTCTGAAAGATCCCAGATTATCTAATTGTGTACCCGCAAGGTCAACATTTTCTAAAATGGGCATGGAAGACTCAACTCATTCTTCTCCTACTGTATTACTACTTGATTTAACCAAGTCACTCGTCGGTACTTGAAGGGGACATCTCCAGGATGAAGAAACAGAGCTAGCCAATAGCTTTGAATGTTTAGCATGTGCTCAGCTACGGCTGAGCTTTAGTACGAACACGCCTTATACAGTGAATTCCCAATGCATACCTGTGACATCAGTTTCTGAGTCCTATTTGTAAATTAGGGAAACTGAGGCTCTGGGATGGAGAGGAGTTGTCCAGGGTTTCCTACCACAGTAGCAGAGCAGGAAATTGAGGTATAGCTGACTTGACTTTGAACCAGGAGGGGATTCAGTTAAGTGATAACAGTAAAGGGAATTTAGAATAGGGGTGTTTGGGGGAAAGCAGTTTTTTCATCCAGAAACTAACATTATTTTAAAATTAGATATTAAGTGCTATTCCTATGCCAGGCCCTGGGGAAAAGCAGCAGTGAACAGGAGTTAACAAAGTGGGCACACAGTGCCACATGGGACTTTGGCTTTTCATCTGTTGGGGTCCTCTTCTAGGGCCCCTTGATTTTTTCATTGTAAGGCCCTTGTCATAGTGTAAAAGTTCTTTATCAAGAGTAAAACCTAATACCTTTGCTGCTTGATAAAATCAGGGATGGGGGCTAGACATTTAGAGAGAACACTAGTGCATGTTCTTTGGCCTTTGGGGCATCTGAGGAGGGTGGGGGATGGACAGGATGTGACAAAATAGGTGTTGCAGCTCCTGGATGTCACATTTTCCACCAAATCTTCCCTTACACAGATTCTCTCCTTTAGAAGATATTTTGCAATTGATTTTGGGAGACAGACATATGGGGGAGGGGTAGTGGAGGAAGGAAACAGGAAGGAAAGAGTCAGTCTTGCTGGACTTGTGCTCAGAGTCACTCTGTCCTCCCTAGGGACATTTCCCCCCCCCCACCCCCAAGTAAACAGAGTGACTGTTTGCTAATGCAAATCTGGAGGGTCGGACTGTCCAGCACTCAGGAAGCCTATCATCTGGGTCCACACTGCAAAGCTGAGGCCCGAGTCCCTCAATTAAAAGGGAGAGAGTCTGTTACCGATTCAAGGTGAAAGAAAAAACATTATTCTGGCACAGGCAGTACACCATTCATAGTTTTGAAACTTGAATATTTTGCTGACAAAGAAAAATGTATTTTTAAGCCTGAGTTCTAAAAACAAAACAATCTTCCATCCCTGTCCTGTAGCTGGCCTGTTTCTGCCAGCTCCTCGATATGAGCACAAACACATTCTTGCACTTTCCAGGGCTCGGCCAGCTTTCAGCACAGCTGGGGGCATATGCTCCTCCCACCCTGCCTCCTTCCTGTGCTGAACAGACTGGGCTCTCCTGCCCGGCCTGGCCCTCTCCTCTCCACAGCTCTGGAACAGGCTTGTGCCCTCCTCAAACTGTGTTACCTGCAGGCAGGAGGACAAAGGAGAAGGAAGCGGTTCTGTTCTCTCTCAAATCAGGGCTGTATCCTAACAGAAATGAGAGTTAGGGAAACCAAAGCCTGCCCCATGGTAAAACCAAAAATCACTCACAGAAACAGGGAAAAAAGAAGTTTGCAGACAGGAGGAAAGAAGAAAAGGAGTTGACTGGGGAAGAGCTGATTGGGGGAAATTCTCACACTAGGTTGCTACAGAAACTTCTCTGAGTCACCAGTTTCGATTTTGGTTTATCTTTACACCTGTCCACAAAGGGTTGCTCAGTTATCTGGGCTATGGGGAAGGGGAAGATCCTTTTGGCAAATTCTGCTAGCTCTGTGAACCAGTGCATTAGATATGAATTCAACTGAATCAAAGAATCTTGTTGTATCCCCAAAGATGCTTCCCATATGCAGCTTTTTTTCTCCTTTTCGTGTTGTGTGGTAGCCTTTGATTAGTGATTTCACTTTTGGGTTACTTACCAAAACAGTCAGAAAGGCAAGTTCCCTCAAACATCTGTACAGGACCATGTGGGTAGCTCTCATGCCTGTTTATTTATCCACAGGAATGAAGGGTGTCAGGTGCTGGCTATCCCTCTTTGAAACTAGTTATTAATGACAAGGAAGAAATGTTGAAGGGTTAAAGGTCTCAATCTTTGAAAGCATGAGAGGAGAATCTTAGAATCTGAGGTTGGGAAGAACCAGATAAAGAAGCAGAGACTGCATGGTGTGCCCCCAGGGTCACAGCATGGTAAGATGCCAGGTCTAGCACGCCCAGCTCTATTCTCTTCCAACAGAGCGTTCATGTCCTGTTCATGTCCACCTTTTCTCCCTCCCAACAGTGTAGACAAAGCTCTGCAGGGCCTGACAAAGTCCTGTGACTTGAGACAGTCATTCACTAGAAGATCTCCACACAGAGGTTTCTCTGAGCAAATCAGAAAGAGGTTTTGCTTCCAAAGCACAGACTTACCCTCCAGTCTCTGTCTCCCAGCCTGGTTATGAGGCCTGCTTGATGAAGGACAGGCTGTATGTCGTTCAGCCCTGCCCTCTTCCCTCAGCAGGGGCTCAACCCTGTGCTTCTGTCCTCATGGTGCCCATATATCAAGAGAGGTCCTAATCAGGGACGACACACCTGCCAATCAAATACTCAGCATGAAGGTCTTTTATAGCCGACGAAGACCAAAAGGAAAACACAAACTCATCTTCAGGGTCTCTGAAATCTTTTTCTTTTTCTCCCAACACTTTTCATTTCTAAAGAGCTCAGCCACACTCAACTCTGAACAAAACTGTAAGTAGATAAACTTGCCAAAGGACTTTATTTTTCTTGACTAACCTCTTTCCTACACTCAATTACGTAGCTGCTCTCTGCAGCTGTTAGACATACTCTTTTTAGACTATTCTTATTGAAACTATTCTTATTGAAAACCCCCTGTGCACCAAAATTAAGGTTTTCCTTTCTGTGGCATTTATAATTTAATGAGAATTCCTAGCTCAATGCTTGGAACACAGTGCACACTTGATAACTACATGACAAGCAAAAAGAAAGGGAGGATGTGAATAGGTCCATAGCCCATGAATGATGGAGTTCAGGCAGCAGGCCCGTAAAGGAGTGACAGTAAGCGATGTGATAACAAGGCTGTGTGCTTGGTCCCAGCTTCTGGAAAATACCCAAGCCATCAGTGAAACCCCAAGAAAACCCGATGCAGACACCTGTAGCATATCTCTGAAACTCTTCTGAGTAGACAATGGCTTACTCGTCCAATTCTGAGATACCTCAGAATTTCTAGGATTGAAGATCCTTTGCATCTAACTGCTTATCAAACCCTTGTCTAGCAACAATGTCCTGGACTTCTAACAAAAACTACATGCTCGTTGTCTACAAAGTATCACTTCAGAAACTTCCCTCC